GTGAGGTGAGCTCTCAGGAACAGCCCGCGGATGGGGTGCTGCACGCCCTTGCACACCTCACTCAGGTCGCTCAGCACTTCCTTGGCGGGGCCCTCCTTGCTGCGGATATAAACCGCCCCCACTGTGCACAAAAGATATCTGGGCGGAGGGAAACGGGCAGGGAGTGATAGAGGAGGAAAAGGGTCTTGAGAGACGTCTCAACAGCACTCAGGTCGCTGAGCACTTCCTTGGCGGGGCCCTCCTTGCTGCGAATGTACACCGCCCCCTCCGTGCACAGCAGGTAGCTGGGAGAGGGTGTGGGGGGAGAAGAGGGAGAACGGAAATGTATGCCTCAAACAGCGCTCAGGTCGCTGAGCACCTCCTTGGCACACTGCTCATGTAAGATAAGTGGAGGATGGAAGGGAAGAATGCAGGAACTTATGGAACAGTAAGAAGAGGTTCGACCGCAGCAAGCCTACGGATCTCGCGTGTTGAGTGAAAGAACTCAGACTATTCTCCGCGTACTGGGGGTAGTCTAGGTAGAGCTTGAAAAAACGGGCGGAGTAGAAGACAAGTAGACAACTAGTAATTCTGAGGCGTACGAGCGTTTCGGCCGAAACGCGCGTACGCTTCAGAATTACTAGTTGACTACATGTCTTCGACTCTGCCCGTTTTTTGAAGGAAGGATTGAGCCGTCTCTCAACAGAGCTCAGGTTGCTGAGCACCTCCTTGGCCGGGCCCTCCGTGCTGCGAATGTACACTGCTCCCACTGTGCACAACAAATACCTGGGGGGAGGATGGGAGGGGGGAGGGGGAGGGAGGAGGGGAGGGAGGAGGGTGAAAAGGAGGAAAGATGGATTGAGACGTCTGTCAACCACGCTGCGGTCGAGTAGCACCCTCCTGAGATTAGCTGGCCCCTCCTTGCTGCAGGTGTACACCGTTCCTACTGTGGTACATACAGAGCAGGTATCTGAATTTTGAGGAGATTTGACTTTTAAGAATTCTCAAAATTCAAACCAACTTAGCTGGCCCCTCCTTGCTGCAGATGTACACCGCACCGCTCCTACTGTGGTGCATGTACAGCAGGTATCTGGATTCCGAGGAGGGGAGGGAGCGTTCTAAGATGTTTCAATTCAATGTGCAGATGGAAGCAAATAGTGCCCACTATGCACTGTAGATAACAAGGACGATGCATAGTAGTAGTAATAACCATAATGTGAAGAATAATAACAATCGAGATACTAATAATTTCAACATTGTTGGTATTTTACTAAAACTATCAATAATAAGACTCAAAGCCTTGACAAGTTGGCACGATGTTGCCAGCATGCTGCACGAGCTCATAGAGGTCCACACAGCTCGCCATACTCCACACCAGCACTACGTGCGGGGCACGCAGGCGTCTCTTTAAGCGTCTAAGGGACTCACAGCCTGGGCAAAAAGTTGCCGGCATGCTGCACGAGCTCATAGAGGTCCACACAGCTGCGGGGTACGATAGCTGAGGCCCGCCCACGTACCTTAAGCATGCGTCTAAAGGACTCACAGCCTGGGCACGATGTTGCCGGCATGCTGCACGAGCTCGTAGAGATCCACACAGCTGCGGCCGCGCATCTTGTGCTCGTCCCAGAAGAACGCCTCCAGGTTCTGCAGCTCGCCGCACACCACTATGTCTGCCGTGCACGTAGGGTTAGAACCAAGGACGTATGGGAAATATCATGAGGTGTCTCGGAATGCACATCCTGTGCTTGTCATCCCACTCCTCCCAGAAGAACGCCTCCAGGTTCTGCAGCTCGCCACACACCACTATGTCTGCCATGCCATGCCATGACATGCATGTAGGGTGGGGAAGAAGGGAGCATGGGACCAAGGGAGAATGGGATACATTAGAGGTGCCTCAAAATGCGCATCTTGTGCCCGTCCCAGAAGAAGGCCTCCAGGTTAAGCAGCTCGCTGCACACCACTATGCCTGCCCCATGCCATGCATTCATGCAGGGTTGGCAAATGGGGCGGATGGGAGAACTTTGAGGTGCCTCAGAATAAGCGTTGTGTTCTAGTCGCCCCACTCGTCCCAGAAGAAGGCCACCAGGTTCTGCAGCTCGCCACACACCACTATGTCTGCCATGCAGAGGGTTGGGCAGAAGAAAAGATTGCATATCCTTGAGGTGCATCGTCTCAAAATGTGCATCTTGTGCTCATCTCAGTCAGAAGAACGCCACCAGGTTCTGCAGCTCGCCACACACCACTATGTCTGCCACGTGGAAAAGCGGGCACGGACGCATGGCATACACGTTAAGTAGGCATGGTCAAGGGCCAACCGCAGCCCGTGGTGATGGCCCAGCTATTACCCAGAAACAATATGTTACCAAACATATAGCGATTGGGGGCATTTGTACCAGAGAGAAATGAGTATTGAATGAACCAGCACTGCACACGCATGACGTACAGAGCTCGTAGTACTTCTGTTGTGCGAGCCCAGAGAACAGGTGCGGTTCCAGTCGATTCAAGGCACAATCAGATCAGTACTGAGGGTTCAGCACTGTACTACACACGTATTACGTACAGATCTGTACTAAGGGTCCCAGGACCCCAGCACTACACACGTAATACGTACAGAGCTCGTAGTACTTCTGTGGTGCGAGCTTGGAGGTGCGCAGCTCAGAAAGCATCTGTGCCGAGTACTTGAGGGCCTCCCGTAGATTGCCCGAGTCCTGAGAGCATGGGATCGGAAGGAGGGGGCAGAGGAGGCGGTTTTCAGTCATTAAAGGGGAAGAAAGAGGGTAGGAGAGCATCTGAGCATGTAGAGAATGCTAGGAGCATGTAGAAATAAATGGTTGACTCACGAGTGCTCGGCGCATGTCGAAGGCCTGCTGCTTGACCACGTTTGAGAGCATCCGCCAGCCATGAGAGATTGACATGACTCGCACTAGAGATTGACATGTAAATCGCTCACGAGTGTTCTGTACATGTAGAATTAAAGAGTGGACTCACGAGTGCTCGGCGCATGTAGAAGGCCTGCTGCTTGACCACGTTGAGTGCATCTGCCAGCCATTTCTCCTGCTCCTCTGCTGCACTTAGCTTCACCTCCACCACCTGAGAGGCACACGGGGGCAGAAAAAGAGACATGAAATGAAATGAAACAGACTGTAGAAAGGCAGGTATTAGACTCGAGGGCATGTGAAGTCTGGACTCTAGAGCATTGGCCAGCAGCCATTTCTCCTGCTCCTCTGCTTCACTCAGCTTCACCTTCACCACCTGAGAGACACACGGTGAGAGAATGACGTGCAACGGACATGGCATAAAAACGAAAACAGGAACAAAGCTGATTTAGAAGGTGAGCATTAGACGATGCCAAAGCAACAACCGGTGGAACAACCTTGAAGGAGATTAGCGAGACTAAACTGTGATGGATGAAAGCTGTAGTGAGTGAGCGGAAACAAACAGGTTTCCGAACGGTGCTGCTGGATTCAACCGCAAGGACCAGCGATCTCAGGTTAACTTGCTTCACGGAAGTAATTCTCGAGTTTACATAAAAGTCACCTCGTGCTGTGAACTCGACCACAGACACCAGGGCGCTCAGGGAGACTAGATTTGAAGAACCGTGCATGAGAGATAGTCGTAGGATCAACAGCTTAATAATTAAAAGGCCAGCGACGGTTTTCTAGCCTGGTAGCCCAGAATAACCCGGCCTAGCCTGGTCCACCAATGCCTACTCGTACCTTGTTCACCATGAGAGCGAGCTCCGAGGGAAGCTAGGTCAACTCGACAGCCAAACTGACGGAAACGCGGCGGGTTAGTCGTGTGATCAACAGCTGAAAATGAGTACGGCTGGACTGCAAGAAAATCAGCCGGCTGATCGTACGGTGCACAGCGAAACTGGGAAAATCAACAAGGAGCGGCGAATCAGGAACGAGGCTCGACAGAAGATGTCCCAGTAATAAGCCAACCTACTTGAGCCACCGGATACTCGACGCGCGTTTTCTATGTTAGCGACTCGGTATCTGGATCGAGGAGCCTAGAAGAATGCTATGCATCTGATGTAGAAAGAGTGAGACAGAACACTGACAAAATTCACTTGTTGCTAGGAGATGGCTCAGGAAACACTGGGGAGTCTGAAGTTCCCGAGGGTAAGGACGTGTCTCAAAAATGCGGGTCGACTTGGGTCCGACGCGGATTCGGCGGACCAGCTCGATGACCGTCGCGTGAACCAGCAACGGACTGGACCGAGATGGGGGGAAACCCTGATAAAACGTTCGAATGGCACAACGGTGCCAGTGATTCGGTCGCCAGACCAGCTCGCGCCTGGTCCGTAACTGTAGCAGCTCTCACTCTATTTGCGAAACTTTTTGCTGTTCGTGATTGTCGCGCGTGACGGGATGGGGTGTTTTTTGCATGCCAAAAGAAGAGGTAACTCGATTTCAACATTTCTTATAGTCGTCATTGCTGTTTTTTGTCGCAAGTACTGTACAGTCCGTGACGCGATGTATCATGCAGACCAGCTCGTGTCTGGTCCACGGCTGGTCCGCGAAGCGGGTCCGTCGGACCAGAATCGCGGACCAGGCGTGCATTTTTTTGCAACAGACCAGGTCGGGGCGGACCAGTGACATGAGACACCTTCTAAAACCAGCTCGAGGGGCGTATTTCCTGATTACGTGATGTCAAGTCGGGTGCAAGTCGATCTGGCACCAATCTGGAGCTTAGCCCACTCTCAAGGAATTCGGCCCGCAAAAGTGTTATGTTGACTGGTGTGTTTTGACACAAAAAGGACCCAAAAAAGGTCAAATCGCAAATGTGTCGAAAAAATATCGAATTGTAGACTCTTCAAGCTCAAAAACTAACAATCAATTCCGCCCTAGCTCTACGCAATTTAAAGTGAGAGTGTTTGCGGCTTTTCCAAAAGTTTCCCAAAGGTATTTTGTAGCATAACTTGCGCAGGGAGGTTAAAACGCGTACAGGCCCTAAATTTGGGCTCTGTCAGACTTTAGCGCCAAAACTCCCGCCCGCGCTGCGACTACGGCCAGACCATGGCTGCTGCACGGGTGAGACGTCTTCCCTTCCATCACCATTCCCGTTCGTCGCCTCCAGTTCGATATATAAGAACCTCATGTGGCTTTCCACATAACGATGGTTCGCCACTTCTTAGCGCATGTGAAACCCTAATCCTAGAAATTCTTCCCGCGCGGGTTTTTTTCCCCCTCGAATAGCCACTTCTCGGTCCCCGAGTTGTGTGCCTCTGAGAGATTCGTCCATTAACCGATCTTGATCGGGCACTAATGTCCACGTTCTAAAACGTTTCATGCCCCTATGATCAATCCTTTCTCGTCGCCTACACGATCATCGTCCCTCATTAGCGTCCCCCACCATGTGAACTTGTATTGTCTCCCCCTTGTCCGGGAGGAGGGTTATTTTGAACAGTCTTGGTTTTTTTTCTCATCCAATATCCCCGTTACTCCCCTCCCCATCCACCCCCTCCCCAACTCCCGACTTTCCCCACCCGTCTCCCGCCCCTCTCCCGTCCCCCTCCCTGCTTCCCCGTCACCTCCCCACCCACTTATATACATCCGTTCCCCTATCTCCGCATCCCCAGCGCGCATTTGCCGGCCTGAAGCCAGAAAAGGTCTCTGGGTGGCGAGTATTCGACGCTAAGGACCAGGTATTCTGCGGGCAAAGACTAGGTATGGTGGGACGGTTCAGGCTTGGTAACACGAACCAGGTACGCTAGTGGGATGCGAGGACGGGTTACCTTGTTCTGGTGCTTGTTCGCTTGGCGTCCCTGCTGTCAGTGGTGCTGCGGGGAAAGACAAGCTTATATACTTCCCTTCTACTTGCATACATTGTCCATACACCCCCCCAACCCCATCTTCCATTCTCTCCCTCTCCCCACCACCCGCCGTCCTTGCCTTCCCACTCTCTCCCCTCCTCCCCGCCTCTCCCCCTCCCTGCCATGCAGGTGCTTGGTCGCCTGGCGTCACGGCTATCAGTGGTGCTGCAGGGGAAAGACAAGCTTGTCTATTTTCTATGTTGCTCTTATGTGTCATCCAGCCACCATTCAACCACTTTCACACCTTTGCTCCCCACCTCTCCTCCTCCCCGCCTCTCCCCCTCCCTGCCATGCAGGTGCTTGGTCGCCTGGCGTCACGGCTATCAGTGATGCTGCAGGGGAAAGACAAGCTTGTCTATTTTCTATGTTGCTCTTATGTGTCATCCAGCCACCTTCATTCAACCACTTTCACACCTTTGCTCCCCACCTCTCCTCCTCCCCGTCCCTCCCCCTCCCTGCCATGCAGGTGCTTGGTCGCCTGGCGTCACGGCTGTCAGTGGTGCTGCAGGCGAAGAACTAGCCCATCTACTCCCCATGCTTCTTACATGCATCGTCCACCCACCCCCATTCAACCCATTCACTCCTCCGCTCCCTGCTTCCCTTCCTCCCCTGCCGTGCAGGTGCTTGGTCGCCTGGCGTCACGGCTGTCAGTGGTGCTACAGGGTAAAGACAAGCCCATCTACTCGCCATGCTGCTTCCGTGCCTTGTCCATTCAACCCTGCTCGCTTCTTCTCTTTTCTGCTTCCCTCCCTCTCTGTAAACCAGGTGCTTGGTCGCCTGGCGTCACGGCTGTCCGTGGTGCTGCAGGGGAAGGACAAGCCCATCTACTCGCCCAGTGTTGACAAGGGCGACGTATGCATTGTGGTCAATGCAGGTTAGTAACCCTCGTGTGGCCTATATCTGGACGCTGGTAACCCCTTATGCCGACCTATGTCCGCAGGTTCTTATCCCTATAGGGGCCTGGCAATGCTGGAGTTCCCATGGCCAAAACTCACAAATGACATTCTCAGTTTGAGGCCTTTTGGTTGGAGTATCTGGCAGGCTGGTTCCTTCTTTAAAGTCAGCTCATAAGTAATCTCTGGTTGTTGTGTTTGACCGTGCGCCTTCGGGGATGTGATGGTTGTGCGTGCATGTATCCAACTGTATATGCTTGAATGCATGTGTGTGTGCATGCTTGCATGCATGTGTGTGTGCATGCTTGCATGCATGTGTGTGTGCATGCTTACATGCATGTGTGTGTGCATGCTTGCATGCATGTGTGTGTGCATGCTTGCATTCATGTGTGTGTGCATGCTTAAATGCATGTGTGTGTGCATGCTTGCATGCATGTGTGTGTGCATGCTTGCATGCATGTGTGTGTGCATGCTTGCATGCATGTGTGTGTGCATGCTTAAATGCATGTGTGTGTGCATGCTTGCATGAATGTGTGTGTGCATGCTTGAACCCATGTGTGTGTGCATGCTTAAATGCATGTTCGTGTGCATGTTTGAATGCATGTGTGTGTGCATGCTTGAATGCATGTGTGTGTGCATGCGTGAATCCATGTGTGTGTGCATGCGTGAATCCATATGTGTGTGCATGCGTGAATTCGTGCGTGCGTATGTGTGCCTGCTTTTGTGCAGAGAAGATTGCAGTGACGGGTGACAAGATAAGGCAGAAGACATACAGATGGCACACAGGGTGAGTTGGGCGGCAGAGACAGGGTGAGACGGGCAGTACACAAGGTGAGAGGAGCAGCATATAAGGTGAGACGGGCGGCACACATAAGGTTTTTGCACCCGGATGGATGCGTGCAAATTCACCAGGGGCAGCCGCAGACTCAGAACCCGCAACTCTTAACAATAGATGCTTAGCTACAAGTTCACCCATGCATCGTCATGTGTGCCCGTTTGTGTACCTCTCTGTGTCTCTCTATGCGCGCTCGCAGGTACATCGGAGGGCTGAAGGAGCAAACTTTAAAGGACCAGATGGCAAAGGACCCAAAGGAGGTCATTCTTAAATCTGCTCACATCTCCTGTACGCACACATGCATGTCCCTCCCCAGGTACATCGGAGGGCTGAAGGAGCAAACCCTCAAGGACCAGATTTCAATGCTCCGTACGACACATGAATGATTTATCCACCCCCCTTGGCTGTGTGTATGCACTCCGTCCCCAGGTACATCGGAGGGCTGAAGGAGCAAACCCTCAAGGACCAGATTTCAATGCTCCGTACGACACATGAATGATTTATCCACCCCCCTTGGCTGTGTGTATGCACTCCGTCCCCAGGTACATCGGAGGGCTGAAGGAGCGAACTTTAAAGGACCAGATGGCAAAGGACCCCAAGGAGGTCATTCGCAAGGCGGTGCTGCGCATGCTGCCACGCAACCGGCTTGTCGATGTAAGTGGCTGATGAGGGCCATCGGCCGAAACGCGCGTACGCTTAGGTTGAATGACAATTTCTTACCTATTCAATCCCGACTAGCCTAAGCTCAGCCTAGAGGAGATTAGGACGAGTTAGAACTGTTGGATCTAGGTCGAAACTATCTTTCTATGCCGTGCTGCGCATGCTGCCCCACAACCGACTTGTGGATGTGAGTCGCATCTTCCTAATAATCTCAGGTGACTTGCTGATGGTATGTGGGATTGGCGGACCAATCAGCGTGGTATGTTGCATCGCCACAATGACCTCCGACCATTTGCAAGGCAGTGCAGCGTATGCTGCTGCGCAACAGGACAAGAGTGTCAGTGTAAGAAGCTGAGGATATTGGAGGGAGACAGTCACCCAACCGGGGAGATGCCTGTGGGGAGGAGGCAGTGCCTTCTCAGTCTTTCCTGTCCACAACCCAAAACCCTACTGCACCGCCTCTCACCCCTGCATCCACCCTCCTCCCCCAGCCTTGATGACGAAGCTGAGAGTATTTGAGGGGCATTGGGGAGATGTCAGTGAGGGAGGATTTTTCCGCTTCTCATTCTCACTCTCCCTTTCTCCCCCCATCCCTCCCACCCAGCCACGCATGACAAAGCTGAGAATATTCGAGGGGGACAGCCACCCATTCGGGGACATGCCAGTGAGGGTGGCGGCAATGCCGCTAAGAAACGTGAGGGAGATGCGACCCAGGGAGAGACGCGCTGCTGATAAAGCCGCTCGTGTTTCTCAAGCTGGTTCCCGTACCCCATTGCATACTTTAACATTCCCACCCCCTCTCCCTTCCCTCTCTCCCTTCCCCCTCTCTCCCTTCCCTCTCTCTCCCTTCCACCCAGCCACGCATGACGAAGCTGAGAATATTCGAGGGGGACAGCCACCCATTCGGGGACATGCCAGTGAGGGAGGAGGCAATGCCTCTAAGAAACGTGAGGGAGATGCGACCCAGGGAGAGACGTGCCGCTGATAAAGCCGCTCGTGCCGCTGCTGCCAAGGGCCTAGGTTCAGCGGAGCATGCAGCAGCAGCAGGAGCAGGGGAAGCATAAGCTGTTGAGTGAGACTCGAATGCCGCTAAGACACGTGAGGGAGATGCGACCCAGGGAGAGACGGGCTGCTGATAAAGCCGCTCGTGCCGCTGCTGCCAAGGGCCAGGGATTAGCAGAGCAAGCAGCAGTATGAGCAGCAGGGGAAGCGTAGGTTGTTGAGTTTGACTTGAAGCCTGTGAGGAAATGTGAGGGAGATGCGACCCAGGGAGAGACGTTCCGCTGATAAAGCCGCTCGTGCTGCTGCTGTTAAAGGTCAAAGTTCGGCTGAGCAAGCAGGAGCAGTGGGGGAAGCATAGGCTTTTGAGTCGGACTCGTGGGTATGGCTTTAAGGTACGTGAAGGAGATGCGGTTCAGGGAGATGCAGCTCAGGGAGAGACGCACTGCTGATTATGCTGGTCGCGCTGCTGCCGCCAAGGGGCAAAGTTCTGCTGAGCAAGAAGCAGTGGGGGAGTACCCAAGCGTAGGCTTAGTTTTCTCTTCAATGAGACATGTTTTAGAGCTTTGTGTCACAACATGTTTCGCTTTTATACAGTACAGTACCACTGAAAGAGAAAGCAGTGCCTTATATTAGGTTGAGGGAGGCCGCTTGCTGATAGAAATGGTTGCTTGCTAGCTACATAGTGGAATCGTTTGTTTTACAACTCTACCCCCTTGGAAGTGAACATTTGTGGTTTCATACCTGATAGCATAGCAGCACGTACCGTATGTAAAGTACCGTAAGAAGCCAACTGCATATACCCGTCGTACCTTAGCACCAGCACGGGCCTAACAAGCTCTATAGGGATGTGGTGTAAGGTAACATCCAGGGGTTGCTGGTGGGAGCCAGCCAGTGTTTTATAATGAGTGCATGGGTTTCACAAAAATGGACCAATATGCACACAAGCTGGGAAACGATAGAATGTCGTACAGTATCAATGTCCCGATGAGACTAACTTTGACTTGTTTCAATAATAGCGTGTGCTCTTACATTTGAAATACGACTACAGTAGTGTTTGCCAACTACCCCATTGCTTGCTACCCACAGGCTAGTTGTACTCAATATAAAATGAGGCTACCAATGCTGCTGGTATGCACAACAACACTCAAGTGAAATACACAGATAATTGACCTGACCCAAACCAGTAGTTTCCTCCAAAATCCCAATTCTCGGGCGTGCCTTCCCCCCAAATCACCACTCTGAACGGGCCATTGAGGAAATACACTCGAAAATACGAGTCTCCCCAGGTGTGGCCATCTGGACCATGACGGAAAATCGTTCACCGTCGTACACGGAGTGCTCATTACTCACCACAACATTGCAACCCTCGTTCGCGAAAACATTCACCAGCATCAGCGTCACCTCGGAGTCCTCCGAGCCTTCGACCACGCCCAGGTTCCCTGAAGCCACTGTATCCACCGTCACCCCCTCCCTGCTCATCAGCTTCCGCTCCACCCTGCGCGGAGATCCCAAGGCAGATCCGGCGGTGACGGCGGTTGCTGCGGTGGCGGATGACGTCTGCAGCATGGGCCGTGCTGCGCTGGCGCTGGTGACGGCGAGGAGCACGAGGAGGGAGAGAGGCAACAGCAGCTTGCGCGCTGCGCGCGGCCACGAGTTACTCGCCATTGTCGCGATGGTTCGGGATCGTCTCAGTAAATCCCGTACGACTGAGAGAAAGCCCGTTGATGGTGCTACTAAGGAAAGAGCCGTTCAAAGGAAAGCCAGTTGAATTTGCAACAATGAAAAAGAAGTTGTTGAAGAGCTGATGGAAAACGAAATCCTGAACATCTAATTTATAGATCTCCGTTTTCAAGCCTAAATCTGACAGCAGCTCACTATCTGTTCGAGCCGCCATAGCCAGAAGGATGAGTTTCGGATTCAGCCGTGAAGCACACGCGAAGGTTGTCAATTCCATGGCAGGTGTGAACTGTAAGTTGGGAGCGTAGAAGGCACGCTAGGTCACAGGAAAGAAAATTGTTACGGACTGACTTCAACAGTAGGCAAAGGAGGAAGAGGAGGCGAGCGGAAAGCAGCCGGGAGGGATTGTAGCGCTGCTGGCGACTTTGACGATCTTCGTGAACTCGTGTAACACACGCAGCTGTACAAAACGAAGAGTGGTCGCAGCCGCTGCGATTCGCGAAAAGTACCGCAACGGTTAGGCGAGAGCCCTGGGAAAAGGGCGTGGAACATTCTGGCTGGAGTTCTTCAAAACGAACGGTACGGTTCCGATGGGTACCACTCGGATGAGTACCGCTCTGAAACACACTAGAACTTACTTCAGCGTACCGTTTACAAAATATACCATTTTCAAACAGTGTGGCCTAAAATCTACTAGAACGGTCTTTGATTGACAACTCAGCCTCCACTCGCTTCCTCCAAATGGCGTCTGCTCGGAGCAGACGTGTAGCCGAATTCACGATATATGAGTAGGTTTTTTTAGACGTCTCAAAAACTCTTTTTCCTAATGGCGTGCGAGGACCAGAAGTGGAGCCGAAATCGTGACGACAGTTACCACTCGACCCAGCTTGCGAGATCGAACCGTAATCACACGCGTGGCGCAGAGCGACCAGTCCCTCATGCGACCGAGCGACCAGCATTTCGTGCGACCGAGCGACCAGCGTCTGGAGCGACCGAGCGACCAACCTATCATGCGACTGCAGCAGGCAGTTCCAGGTTCGCGTTCGCGACGAATGAAACGGGAGCCGTCACGAACGGGAGCGAGCGGGAGTGCGACAGAACGGGGGTTCGACTGTGCGACCCTGTTCCTGGCTCTTGTCCACTGGGTGGGTTGAATGCGGTGCAGCCTGGTGGAATAGTGCGTAGGGGAGTGGAAAGCGGCGTACTGGGCGGAGCGTCCCTTGCAGCGTCAGCTGGGCGGAACGAGCGATGGCTCAAGGCAGCGCTGATGGCGGAGGGATTGAATGCGGTGCAGTCAGGTGCAATAGAGCAAGTGCAAGAAGGTCGAGAGGGATTGAGTGCGGTGCAGTCAGGTGGGACAGAGCGATGGCTCATGGCCGCGGTGATGGCGGAGGGATTGGCTGCTCCGATTGGTTCCTTGGGGTGCGGATCTGGACTGATGATTCTAGGTGGTCAACACGGTCATTGCAGTCAACGTGGTCCAGCGTTGGAAAGTCAACGCGGTCAACACAGTGCAGCTTTGGGCAGTCAACGCGGTCAACCCAGTGTAGTGTGGGAGAGTCAACGCGGTCAACGCAGTTCGAGTAGTCACAGTGACCCCAACGTCCTGGCCTTTGGCCGGGGCCAGTCTCACGTTCCAGCTACCACACACGCCACCCCATCTCCCTTGCACGCTCGTTCCCACACCCTCCCTCACCCTCATACTCGCACTTCCAACCCCACTCCTCCATCCACCCCCTCCTGCCTTTCCACAATCACAGCGATTCATCCAAACCCTAGTTCCGCTCGTCTTTTTGAGGCTCCTAAGTTCACAAACCCTAATTCCGCTCGCCCCATTTCCACAAACCCCACCAACCCCACCAACGGTCCAATCAACCTTCCATTCAACCCTCCATCGAACCGTTTATCCTACCAGGGCCCGGACAAGCCCTTGAAAGACCCTCTCTCGCACTCTCCTCCTGATCACCGTCCGTCGCTCAGCCCTTCTCATCTGGACCGTCCATCCACCCAAGCACATGCATCCCAGCCGTCCCTTCCTGCCTCTCCATCTTCCTCTCTCCCCCATGGACGTACATGCCATGCTCATGCCCATGCCCATGCCCATGCCAATTCCCATGCCTATGCCAATTCCCATGCCCATGCCAATTCCCATGCCCATGCCAATTCCCATGCCCATGCCTCTTCCCTGCGTCAAGTCTCCCCAGCTAGTGCTTCATTAGCGTGCAACCAAAGCACAGGTGGCGGTTCAGGTTCCAGCAACATTGTCTCAGGTGGAAGCTCAGGTGTCAACAACATTAGCTCAGTTGGTGCTGCTAAGCTACAAGCCTGGATTCGAGGAAGGGAGAGGGCGGGTTCTTATAGGGAGAGTGTAGGCCCGGCCAGGCGTGTTGCTTGTGACAGTAAAGGGGGTGATTCGGAGAATGATATGGCACATCAAGGTCTGGACAGGCTTGGTGATGACAGGCTTGGCGTGGACAGGCTCGGCAGGGGCAGGCTCGGCAGACATAGTGAGGAACAAAGGCTGGAGTATGGTTTTTCAGAAAAGTGTGGCCCTTCTGTTTCGTGTGTGTCTTCTGCTGCTGCTGTCGCTGGAAGAGTGAGGGATGCCCGTACTGATGGTGATGGTGATGGTGATAATATAAATGGAGGTGACACAAAGAAGCGTGGCAGAGACGAGGGAGGCAAACGTGGGGATGACAGGAACGAGTGTGATACAAGTGGGGCCAGTGGAGATGTCGAGGAGGATGTGACTGCAGACCAAGTGCCTCTACCCAACCATCCAGGTGAGAGAGCCTTCCATTCGCGTTATAAAGCCGCTCGTGCCGCTGCTGCCAAGGGCCTAGGTTCAGCGGAGCATGCAGCAGCAGCAGGAGCAGGGGAAGCATAAGCTGTTGAGTGAGACTCGAATGCCGCTAAGACACGTGAGGGAGATGCGACCCAGGGAGAGACGGGCTGCTGATAAAGCCGCTCGTGCCGCTGCTGCCAAGGGCCAGGGATTAGCAGAGCAAGCAGCAGTATGAGCAGCAGGGGAAGCGTAGGTTGTTGAGTTTGACTTGAAGCCTGTGAGGAAATGTGAGGGAGATGCGACCCAGGGAGAGACGTTCCGCTGATAAAGCCGCTCGTGCTGCTGCTGTTAAAGGTCAAAGTTCGGCTGAGCAAGCAGGAGCAGTGGGGGAAGCATAGGCTTTTGAGTCGGACTCGTGGGTATGGCTTTAAGGTACGTGAAGGAGATGCGGTTCAGGGAGATGCAGCTCAGGGAGAGACGCACTGCTGATTATGCTGGTCGCGCTGCTGCCGCCAAGGGGCAAAGTTCTGCTGAGCAAGAAGCAGTGGGGGAGTACCCAAGCGTAGGCTTAGTTTTCTCTTCAATGAGACATGTTTTAGA